CAAACTCGAGGGATGGAATATGCGTTCCCGGGCCCTGTGGGCTCCCCTCCCGGTCCCTGAACCAGGGCCCTGTCTTGTCACCAAACCTGGGGACTGGCTGGTCTACAGCTCCCGCCCCCCAACAACAGCTGGAGGCCGTAGCGCCAGCCGCTCCTGAATTTTTCACGCAGGGGGCGGGCCGGACACGCCGTTCCCATGGCACCGGGGCACTCGGGTTACAGCCGGGGATACCCCAGCCCCCAGTCCCCATAGGGCACCAACCTAACCTGTCTTGCCTCCGCCTCAGACCAGGTGGGACTGGACAGCGGAAGTAACCCCCCAGGCGCCCTCAACCTCCCCTGCATCCCCCAACCCAAAATGAGTGAAAGAGACCAGTGGAGAGGCGGTAAAGGGGAAGTTGCACTGCGGGGCACAGTGATTGTCTCCCGCTCTGGATGCGAGGAGCAGAGCTGTGTCCTCCCGCGTGAGTGCACGAATGGACCTCTCCACCTCAGGGCTGCCCCTCTGCCTGTCTGTGTGTCATCGGGAGTGGGTCATCCTCAAGCGTGGGAAATGGATGTGCGCTTCTGGATGAGCTCACGCCCTGTGCTCACCCTTCCAGCTGGACCCTGAAGCCAGAAAACCCCCACCCCAAGGAGCTGTAGTGTCTCCCATTGAACAAGAGGGGACTCTGGAGGAAGCCATCTCAGCAGCTCCCCAGGAGCTTCTAGAAGAAGTCAAAGCAACTGCCTCACTGCCCTTCCTTCTGGAAGGAAGGAAGAAACGAAGGAAGGAAGGAAGGAAGGTCAAAGCCACTTCCCACTAAGGATGACACTAAACACCCAGCAAGAAGCAAAAACCCCCCTGCGTCGCAGAGCCAGCACTCCACTACCCCTGTCCTCTCGGAGCCACCGACCTGGCTGCCTGTGCACAGCACCCGCCACGCAATCCCAGCATCCTCCACTGGGCCAATCAGCCTCCCTCAACCCTCCTGCCCGGAAACCCTCACCTGCCCCAGATAGCTGGTCCTCTGAATCCAGCGACTCTGAAGGCTCCTGGGAGGCCCTCTACCGAGTAGTGCTGCTTGGAGACTCCGGCGTAGGGAAGACCAGCCTGGCCAGCCTCTTTGCAGGGAAGCAAGAGCGGGACTTCCATGAACAGCTGGGAGGTAGGATCCTTGTGAGATGCTATGGGCTGGGATGTGGCCAAAGGAGTGAAAGGCCTGTCACCAAGGCACAGGACTGCCGAGAACAGTTGTACAAGTCAGGCACGCACTGTGCAACTTGAAGTGGCATTATCACACAGACCATGAGATAAATGATGCTCACCTAGAGTTGTGCAGCACCACGGTCTAGGGGAGGGAAATTCCATGGAGTGAAAAGTATACCCATTTCCCATGGATAAGAAACATAATTCATGAGGGGAAAAGTTCTAAAAACTATCAGTGTCAAGAAATGGTGGATTCTGCTCAGCTCAGGAACTGCCAGTGCCAGGTCCCCCAGACCCTCAGACCCTCCCAGTTCCACAGATACCCAGTCATGGGCACCATGACCTACAGCATCTTCCCACAATGGAGACTCCCATAACTCCGGTTCTGGGCCCTGGGATGCTTTGGTCCCAGGAAATGCAATGAACTAACAGGGCCAGGGGCCTCAGTTTGATGGGACAGAAGGAATGCAGCACTGGCTGAGAGGACACAGGGTGAGTGGGGAGGAGGCTGGTTGAAAGCAAAGAGAAGGTGGGGACAATCTGGCCAGGCTCCTCCAGCCTCGACCCTCCTGTAAGTGAGACCTGAGACCTGTTATGAAAGGTGTACGTGTGTATACTTACAGGTGTTACAGATGAGGAAACTGGGGCCCAGAGAGGCTAACATGACCTGCCTGAATCACAAGCTGAGCTTGTAGACTGGGAGGAGACATCCCAGAGACCACAGCAGGAAAGGGAGAATTCCCAGATCACCTTTAACTCCACTGCCTCGCTCATTTAATCAACCAAACCAATCTCCCCAGCACCTAACAAGTGCCAAGTGCTGTGCTGAAGGGGGTGGGGGGTGGGGCTCCTCTGAAGCTTCTTGACAGTGTGGTGAGTACCTCAAGGATTGGGGGGACCTCACCAGAAAGGGAGACTAGGGAGCCCACGTGCTGTGAAGGCCTGCCCTCCTCCCTGAGAGCCACCTCTTCCATTGGTTGCAGATGTGTATGAGAGGACCCTCACAGTGGACGGAGAGGACACCACACTGGTGGTCATGGACACCTGGGAGGCCGAGAAACTGGTATGGCGTTGCAAGTAGGATTGGTGGGGAAGGGTGCTGAGCCAAATATCAGACTTCTGTCCCCTCCTGAGACACAAAGAGCAGGAGTCAGGGCAGGGTCCCTCCTCAGCATCCCCTCCCCCTAGCACAGCCTTTCCAGAGGCAGAAGAACTTCATACCCCACCGACCCCCTTCCAGTAGCCACCTTAGGACGTGCTCCCCACCCCTCATCCTGGCCCACCCACCCACAATACAGAGGAAGAAACACTGGCTTTGGCACACAAATGCCTATGGTTGAAATTCCCCTTCTTTTTATTATTCATTACATAGCTTTGTGCAATTAACTTATGCACTCTAATTTTCATTTTTCTCATCCAACAAATGAGTCAATTATTCCTGCCTTCATCATCAGCTGATTTTGTTGCTGTTGTTGTTTGTTGCTGTTGCTTTTTTTGTTTTCCGTGCTAGGATCAAACCCAGGGCTTCTTGCATGTTAAGCATACACTCTACCACTGAGACCATCATCAACTGATTTTTTAAAATTTCATATGCAGTTCCACAGGGGTGAGCCCAGTTCAGAGCATGAAGGAAAAATTGCTCCACAGGGTGGAGAATTGTATGTGACAATTCTTAAGTTATACCTTGGTAATTAGTGAAAAAGGAAACTGAAGTGCATTCTTCTGTATCCACTTCCAGAGCAAGAAGTGAACAGCACACAAGGACATGTCTCCTTTAAATGATTTTATCTTATTTGGGTTTTTCTTTTCTCGTGCTACTTAGGTGATAACACTTATTGTAGAATTTTGAGAAAATACACCTAAGCAAAGAGAAGGATGCAAAAACAACCTGGGATGCCATCTCTCTCTGGGCAGGCCCCTCCCCTAATACTCAGGGAGCCCCCATCCATGGGGTGGGGCTTAAGAGGGCAGGGGGATGATTGACAATAGCCGGCAGCTCCTCGGATGAGCCCAAAAAAAGACAATGAATGAGCCATGTAGCCAATTCCTTTTAACAAACGTAAAAGGAAACCCAGGTCCAAATGAGCTTACTTGTGATGATTCTTATAACAGCAGCTGACATGAACAGACCATCTTCTTCCACCAGATGTAGAAGCATTGCATATATAACATTCAGTCAAAACAATTACAATGGGAGTATTCTGATGAGAAACTGAAGCCCAAAGAGGTTAAATAATGTGTCCCAAGCTCCCAAAGAGAAAGTAGGATTCAAACCCAGATCTACAAAACCCCAGACCGTTCCCTTCGGGTACATCACCTTCTGAACCTTCAGCTCATGTTTCACTTCTTCATCCATCCACCCATGCATTCGGAAATACTTTCTGGGTGTCTGCTGTGGGCCAGGATGCTGGAGTGAACCTGACAGGTATTGTCTTCTGGCTTCATGGAGTTCACAGGCTGGCAGGAAAGCACGACTGCACCACTTGTTGGGTGCAATTGAGAGTTCTGTGGGGGCAGAGTTCAGTGGGGTTAAGAAGAGTGATCAGACTGAGAGTTCCACTCTGTGGACAAGTAAGGAAAGATACTGGACCAGAAGGCAAGACCTGGGAGTTGTGCACAGCTTGCTGTTTGGCCCTGAGAATGTTTTCTCCTCTCCTCTGTCCTTCGCTTTTCCTTCAGTCTCCCTGGTTGAAGGGCATTCCCAGAGATGGCTCAGCAGTGGCAGCCTTACTGGACTAAGCATCTGTCCTTTCCATCCGTGGGCAAGATGATACTCTGATGTCAGAAAGGCAGTATCTGACTAAACTAGGTGGGCTTTTGGCTCATCTGGTAGTGCCCTAGCTTGGCTGGCCAGCAGGGTCACGTTGAGAATGTTAAATATCAAATTCTTAGCCAGTCAGTGTGGTGAAGGCCAATAATCCCAGGACTCAAGAGCCGATCCAAAAGGATCACAAGTTTGCGCTCAGCCTGGGCAACTTAGCAAGACTCTGTCTAAAAAGCTAAAAAGATCTTTGTAGGCAGCTCATTGTGAAGACTCTCTGGGTGCAATTGTAGCACCTCACAAAAAATAAATAAATAAAATTCTTAAGCCTTATCCCAAACCTAATGAATAAGACCATCTAAAAGTGGGGATCTAGAAATTATATTTTTAGTCATTCTACTAATGGGTTCTTATCTACCAATCTGTGCATCAACTGGCTTTTATGATCCGGATACACATAACAAATTCTCCATACATATTTATACAATTAGTGAATGAATGGTCAAGATCCACCCTCTCATTCCACAGATGGGGAAACAAACTAAGAAGGAGGAAGGAATCCGTACATGTCAAGGTTGAGAACCCACATCTGTATGACTCCACTGGGGAATAATCAGTATGGTTGCTGAGAGTCTACTCCTTTGACACTGATGTTGATGATGATCTGATATTTTCCTATTTGTCTATCTTATTTGGTTAGAAAATGTTTCTGGCTTCTTCCTCCCTTATAGCCAATACTCCTACTACCCTCAGTCCCTCCTATTCTAGGCCTTAGCTCTGACTCTCCCTCTTTATCTGTAATCTCCTCTCCTGTTTGGCCTGCTCAGCCTCTCAAACATTACTCACCAGACCACTAGGAAGCCCTCCTATACTCTGCCATGTTGTTTTTCTGACCACCCCACCCCTGTGGCCCGTCCAGCAGATGCCTCTGTTCATGGTACTGACTGCAGTGCATTATTACCTTCCATTCCCATGGTCTCTTTTCTAGACCATAAATTTCTTGAAGGCAGCAACTATGTCTTATTAAACACAAGGCTATCACCCATATGGCCCACTCTCTAGTGCTGTCCTTGGTAAATTACTACCATCCAGAAGGGAATATCAAAATCACTCCAGTTCTTTCCTTTCTCTGGTCAAACAACTTGAAAAGACTCCACTTCTCAAAGTGCCCCTTGCCACTCCCCCCCATCTGAATTTATGAGTTGAACTTATAAGGTGTTATCAGAAAAACTCTAAAGTTACATTCTTCTATACAGGAAAAAGTGAAGGCAAGTGTGGTGGCGCACACCTGGAATCCCAGCACTTGGGAGGCTGAGGCAGGAGGATACTGTGAGTTCAAGGCCAGCCTGGGCTACATAGTGAGTTAAAGGCCAGCCTGAACTGCATAGAGAGACCCTGTCTCAAAAAAAAAAAAATGTGAAATGCAAAGAGAAACCCCTTCTCAAAAAAAAAAAAAAAAAAAAAAGGAAAGAAAAGAAAAGCAAAAGTGAATGTGATGATGAATAATGAAAACACAGTGAATATTTAATTTTAAAAATAATTCTTACAGTAAAAGACACATTGCAGCTAGTAATCCCTCTCAAAATACTCCCCCGGACTTTGAACACACTTATCCCAGCATTCTTATCATCCTCTGAAGCTGCTCTAGAAGTCTGGAAGGAGTATCAGCCTGTTGTGGCTGCCCAGTGTCCCGACTCCATTCCAAATCTTCACACTTCATAGTCATTTTGACTTTGAGGACTAACCAGAAGTCAGGCAACACTAGATCCAGTGCGTAAGGTAGATGAGGTCCATACACACTGTATGTTTTTAAAAGCCTTCTTTTCTGTTGTATGGCATTTGGCAGAAGTATTCACCATGTTTTTTGAAGTCACATCTCGCGAAGACACTCATGAGAGACTTCCAGAACTGCTTCAGGAAGTGGCAAGTATGGTAGGATAAGTGTTAACATGAGAGAGTATTTTGAGGGGGTTTCATAACAAAGCGTCTTTTACCATAATAACTTTTTATTTAAACATTCAGCTGTCTATTTTGATCACCACTTAGGCACTCCAGAGTTGCTCCTTCACCTCTCTCTTCAAAACTGCCCTGAAAAAGGCCTTCCCTGAAGATACTTTCTGTCCTCGCTTCTCTTCTTTTCTGTCTCAATTCTAGAGGCTGCAGAAGGCCTGATAAACTGTCTGGTAAAGCTAAACCCTCCTCAGAAATCAGATAAAATTGCTGAACAGGCAAAGCCGAAACCCTCCTTGCCAAGGAGAACCACAGAAATCTTTGCTGCCAGTGTCAGCCTACAGAAGTAAGCAGTGAATGAAAGTATGAAGTAAAGGAATGTCCACTCAGTTTTTCAAGCCGAGAAACTCAGGCTCAGAGAAGATCAGTGATTTTTCCAAAGTGACTCAGAAAATTATGAAAGCATGTGTGCCCCAAAACCTGCTCTTGGTATAACCTCAAACTTATTCCGCCCATCAAACCAAGCCAGCCTCCTTCCCAGTCAGGGCCTGAGCGCCCTCTAAGGAGCGGGCTGGGGTCCCGCCCTGCAGGAAGAAAGCTGGAGCCCAGAGTCCTGCCTGCAGATGGGCAGCGCCTACGTCATCGTGTACTCCATCGCAGACCGCAGCAGCTTTGAGAGCGCCTCGGAGCTCCGCATCCAGCTGCGGCGCGCGCACCGGGCGGACCACGTGCCCATCATCCTCGTGGGCAACAAGGCCGACCTGGCCCGCTGCAGAGAAGTCTCCGTGGAAGGTGAGACACCCTCCCCAGCTCATCCCGCCCCTACCGCAGGTCTCTCCGCCACACCGCTGCTCCTCCCCATCCACCGCCATTCTGCAAGCCCATTGGCTGAGCCTGCCCGCTAGGGACCATCCCCAGCCGTCCAGGGTCCTGGCAGGCTCCCTACACTCTCTCCCTGCTTGCCCACAGCCTCTGCCCAGTCCTGGTATCTCCACTTTGTCCTGGATCAGCCTTCTGCTTCTTCTCGGCCCCACTCAATCTGCTGTCCTCTCCAACTCAGTTTTCCAGAGCCAGAGCTGACCTTGTCACTTCTCTGCTTAAAAATCCCCTCATGGGGACCCCCAGGCTGCCCAGGTCAGGGCCAGCCTGAGTCTCTGCATCTAGCCGCTCATCAGGCTCACCCATGGGTGACCCTGACAGCCCATCTAGGATAAGGTGACATCCTCAGGCTGTCTTGGCCGAGCTGAGCCCACTTGGGCTTCTGCCTGGACCCCACAAGCTCACACCCTTTCTCCCTGGCCAGAGATCACTCTATATCCTGTCCTGTGCCCTCCAAAGCCCCAGATCCCTGTGACCCAGGCACCGGCCTTCCCCCATACCACAGCAATGGCTCCACAGAGAAGGGAGAGGAACAAAGTCAGGCCTCCCTCCTGCCTCAACCACGCCAGCCCACCTGTGCCCACACCTCCGGCCTCCACCCACCTCCTCCCATCTCTTGTCTTCTCAGAGGTCAGAAGTGATGGGGCTGGAGACCTCCTACTCTTCACCTCTGCCACTCTTCCAGGCTCTGTCTCATTCATCAGGCCAGCCTGGGGCCCAGGGAACCCACCCTAGTGTAAACACAGGGAGGGCCCTGCAGGTGCCACTGCTGGGCACCTGCTCAGGGACTGGTCACCTGCCCAGCTTCCTCACCTGTTCCCATGCTCTCCCACTGCAGCTCTGCCACCGGGTGTCCCAGTAGAGGATGAAGGCACAAGGAAGCAGGTGTAGGAACACCTGACACCCAGGAAGGAGGTGGAGCTCAGGCTCTTTGGGGCAGGGGGCGTCCAAAAAGGAGAGAGAGAAATCCCCCATGGCTCTACATGCCCTTAACCAGAGGCACTTTATCAGTCTTGGTAGCCCCAGTGCTGACCAGCTTTTCAAGGACTTGCATTTAAGAATTTAAAGAGATTAGCCGGGCGTGGTGGCGCATGGCTATAATCCCAGCACTCTGGAGGCTGAGGCAGGAGAATCGCTGTGAGTTCAAGACCTGCCTGGGCTACATAGTGAGTTTCAGGTCAGTTTCAACTACATAGTGAGACCCTGTCTCAAAATACACCCCCCAAAAAAAATTAAAGAGCTCATTATAGTGACTCCACAATAAAATGAGAAAATTATAAATTCAAATTTCATAAAACTTTGTCTAAAAAAATATATTGTATCAGCCAGAAATTACAAACCAATTCTTTCTAAATTATATATGAATTATATTTATAGTGTGATGGGGAATAATTTAATGTTTCATATTTCTGATAGGGCCAGTAAAGATCTTAAAATGGCCCTACTCTTGGAGTAAACCTAAAAAAATATGGAAAGCCAGATCCAGACAGGGAAATCCAGTTTCCCAGAGTCACCAGTCCCTCAGAAATGTACTGAGACCCTGCCTGCTGGCCCAGTGGCATCCTGGAGATAGAAAGCCATGTTCTCAGTGGACAGATATCCAAAAACTGCAACAGAATCCATAGATTTTGTTAAAACACAGGTTCCCAGACCTCATCCCAAACCTAAAGAATCTGAATCCCTGAAGGTAGGCACAAGAATCTGAATTTTAACAAACTTCTCCAGGTAATTCCAATACCTGGGAAGTTAGGCCTCTTACTCTAGCACTCAACCCCCGTCCTAACCTCCGGGTCTTCCCAGACACCAGCATCAGTGCCTAGTGTGAACTAACTCCTCCACACCCGGTATGATTTATCTGATTTCCCTGACACCAGCATCAGGTATGAGTTAAGGGAAAATTATCCCGAGTAGACACTGAATTTGGCTCTTTCCACCTTCGTGTCACTTTCTGGCTGTGGCTCCACCCCTCCTGCCTGACCACGCCCCTCAGAGGGCCGCGCCTGCGCTGTGGTGTTCGACTGCAAGTTCATTGAGACCTCCGCAGCACTGCAGCACAACGTGGCCGAGCTCTTCGAGGGCGTGGTGCGCCAGCTTCGCCTGCGTCGCAAAGACATCGCGGCCCAGGAGCCCTCAGCACCGCGACGGCGGGTGCCCTCCCTTCACACCTCCTCCCCTCCCCATTTACTTTCGGCCAGCGTGCTCGTCGCTTTCTGGCTCGCCTGACGGCCCGCAGTGCCCGCCGCCGGGCACTCAAAGCCCGCTCCAAGTCCTGCCACAATCTAGCTGTGCTCTGAAGCCACCCCCCCCCTTCTGGAGATGATGGGACATTGGGATGAAGTCTGAGCTTCCCCGAAGCTACCGAGGAGCAAGAGCAGCGTGGCCCAAAGTCCGCACCTTGGTCCCTACCTGCTGGCTGCCTTGATGGCCCGAGCATCGCTCAGAACTAGAGCCTCGAGGAGCACTCGGCTTGGGAAAGTGAGGGACAGACTATAGGCCAAAGCTTCAAGACGGTGCAAAGTTGGGTGTTTTTAAAATAATGGGTGCCTTTTTATAAGAATTTCCCTTGTCTCTAGGCTCTGACCTATTCTCAGAAACCCCCACAATAAACCAGTCCAGAAGGCTGACCTCTCTGAGTGCCCAGACGCCTCCTTGGGCTATCCAGACATTTCTTCCTCTTGTCCTCCCATCTACGCTGCCTACAGACTTGGTGGTTTGTCCTGCTGGCTTTGTGTCCAAGCCAACCAATAAGATGGCAGGCCAGTTGAGTGCTGAGGCCCTCTCTCAACCACTGGGTATGGTGCCTATCTTTGAGACACACTCAGGATCGCTGCCAATCACAGCTCAGTGTGACCCACTATTTTCTCCTTAATTCATTTTCTGGATTATAGCTTCACAAAACATTGTATGGAAAGAATCTTAGCTCTCTTTCTGCTAACGTAATAGCTGGCAGTTGTGGGTGTTGTGTACTAAGCTGGTGCGACTATTAATCTTTGCCTGGGAGGAGAAGGTTACCATTAACCTGGTTTGATTAATTAGGAAACCAAGGCCCAGGACAGTGGACCCCCAGGATAATACAACTGCTCTCAGTGAAGTAGCTAGGATTCCAACCCAGTCTTCTTCCGCAAGTATCTGTACCCAGATTATCCACAGTCCAGTCCTCCTTAAGAATGTGACAGGGTACTTGGGAGCTGAGGCCAGCCTGGATGATTTACCCTACATCCAATGAATTAAAGACTAGAGCACCTATCTACCATGTATGAAGCCTGGAGCTCCATCCCCAGCACTGCAAAAAAAGAAGAAAAAGAAAAAGAAAACACAGCAGGGCCAGGGATTTAGCTCAGTGGTGCCACTCCCTGCCTTGCAAGCAATGATCCTAGTACCAAAAAAGAAAAAGAAAAGAAAATAGAAAAAGAAAAAAAAAGTGACAAAACACTATAGCATGTGAGGGAGACAAACTTTCAACAGAGTTTTGCATACAATTTAAGGGCTGATGGGGCATAAATTCCATGAAACTTGATCCATTTAATCCCTCTGGATAGACCCCAATTTAGTCCAATCCACTCATTTTCCAAATATGAAAACTGAAGCCCAATTATTCAGGGAGTGAGTACCCACCCACCCCAAGGTCATCCAGCCAGTAAGGGTGACCCTTGCGACCTCCTCATGGCTATGAGGAAGGCAGAAGATAGCAAGGTGTCCAGCCTGACTGGGACAGGGCTGGGTGTAGGTCAGGAGTTTCCAGCTGAGAGAGGGGCGGGTGTCACTGCTTTGAGAAGAGAACAAGATGCAAGCGTTTGGACCATCTTGTCTCTGGCGCCTGACACGCCTGACATGCCTGCCCCCAACCAGATGCCTGCCAGACAGTCGCCTCAGCCCAGCACATTGACCACCACGTCCCAGTGAGCCGCTCCCCTTTCCCCCAGAGACCCACGCACACACACACCAGGGCTTGCCAGCTAGGTGCAAGCGATACCTTTTCCCCATCCCAACAACAGCCCAGGGAAGGGAAGGGGAGTAGGGTCTCCCCCACCCCAAGCTGTCTCCGGCCACTATTGGCAGTGGGGGAGGGCCCTAGCTGTGGAAAGTTGGCAGAAGCAGCCGGCAGTAGACAGGAGTGGAAAAAATGATATCAAACCCGGAAAAATGTAGGCCAGATGAAGGGCCAGAGTCAGCTTTAGAAACAAAAGGACGGCCACAGTCACTCCTTTCTTTATCCACAAGTATTTATTGAGGGCCTACTCAGTGCTGGGTACAGTGCCAGTCTCTGGGAGGTGGCAACAAGGAGGGGGCACTTGCTGCTTCTTAGAGCTCACCACAGCCTGGTGGGGGAAGCAGACTAGACAACAAATAGATGAATAAAATAATTACAAAGTGATAGGGGCTGAACCTACCAGGGTTGCATAGTGAGCAAATGGTAGGGCCAGAATTCACATAGAGACATCTGCTCCCACGGTGTTAAAGGCTCACCTATATTGCAGCAAGCCCAGACAGACTGGCATAAAAGTGGAGGAGTCTTTGCCCTGTGCCCTGCTGCCTGCTGCATGGGCTGGGGACAGGACAGAGAACAAAAGTACATTAAGAGACCCTGGGTGTGGTAACTCACACTTTATCATCCCAGCACTCTGTGAGGTTAAGACAAAAGGATCACAAGTTCAAGTCCAGCTTGGGCAACTTGGTGACTTAGTGAGATCCCACCTCAAAATAAAATACTTTTTGAAAAGGGCTAGAGGGACTGGGGATTTAGCTCAGTGGTTCTGCCGCCTGCCTTGCTAAGCCTAAGGGCCGGAGTTCAACCCCTGGTACCAAAAAAATTAAAAAATAAAAAATAAAAAGGGCTAGAAATGTAGCTAAGTGCAAAAGCCCTGGGTTCAATTCTTAGTACACACACACACACACACACACACACACACACACACACACACCATGAAGAGTTCTTGGCCACAGCTGGGACTTTCCACCTTAAAGGGAGAATGGTGTTATGGAAAAAATGATAAAGCTCTGGAAAGATGAATATCTCCCCAGGGGCCCCCAAGTCTCCAAAGAGTTCCCCCCATGCTGTGAGGGAGGGTCACAAACTGCTGCCCTGATCTGATGAGATGAAGGCCACCTGGCTCCTGAGATACCCCAGCCGGGCTGCTCAGAATACTGAAGATCACTGCTGTTGATGGAAAGTTTTGATTTTGTAGCCAGGAGTGTAAAGCTTCTGCTTGGAGACCCCCAAGGAATCAGTGCCAGGCTGGAGTGCTTTGTCCCTGGGTGGCAGGAAATATACCTCTCACTGGGCCGACTCACTCTTTTCATTCTGCAAACAGCGACAAGGGCGTGTGCTGCGAAGGAAGGTTACAGAGCATAGAGGTCACAGCTGGCAGACATGGGGACTTCCGAACCCCTGCCAGGAAGGAAATGGAAGGGAAGAGGAGGGGTAGGAAAATTCTTCTATAACTGTTTTAGCAAAAATCAAGCTTCTGTCAGTTCTGTCGTAAGCACGTAACCCTAGACAAGTCAAAATATACAAAGAGGAGCATGAAGATATAATTCTCCATGTGATTGTCTTTGTCTCAAGAACATTTGAATATTTTAGCTCAAGAGCTTGAAAAAATACACAAGTTCAGTTTCGGTTTGAATACTGTTCCCTTCTTCAGTTCAGGGTTCAGTTAAAAATAAATCTAATGACAGGGTGGGAGCTTTGGGTTCAGCAATGTGCAGTTTTCTCCAGTTCCATCTGGTTCAAGTTCAAGGTTGGGGAGTGTGTGTGTGTGTGTGTGTGTGTGTGTGTGTGTGTGTGTGATGGCTTATGTTCCCATGCTTCATATGTGACAAGATGTTGGTGGAAAAGCATGGGCTTTGGAACTAGAAAAAAACCCACCATCACTTTTTGGCCTTTTAGCTAAGATCAAGTGTAGAAAAAACCCCACGTTCAATCCTACCTCAGGGCACTTGGTCTCTGTGAGACCTGGGATGTTATTCAGCCTCCTTTCTTCACCTTAAAATTGGAGGTGATAATTCCTACCCCATAGAATTAAATGTTTCTGAATATTTGAGAATGTCCTGTGTATGTAGGCACTGGGTACATATTTAGGAATGTGTTGTGTGTTAGTTACTTTTCCTTTCCTTGCTGAGACAAAATACCCAACATTCAAAGTTAAAGGGGCAAGGGTTGATTTAAGCTCACAGTTTGTAGAGTATCAGTCCATAATCGGCTGGCTCCAACGCAGAGTGGTACGTGACAGCGACATCACAGAGGAGAAACAATTCATGGTGCCCACATGGTATCAAAAGCAACAAGGTAAATTTAGCAGCATCTTTCTGCCCCTTTATCCAGGCCACCAGGACTAGGGCAGTGCCGAGCCAATCAGTGGACTGGTTTAATAATAACAAGCCCTTAATCCCACCATCACACAATCTAGTTTCAGCCACCTCTGAAAAAGCCACCTATGACCACATGAGGCTTTGGGGGGACATCTAGACCAAACCATAGCATGCTGTAACATTTAGGAATATGCAACCTAAATATTACACTTTTCCAGGCCTCGACTTTCTCATCTGGAAAGTGGGGATATTAATAATTCAACTCTCTCTACATATTAGTGTGAGAATTCATTCAAACTGTCATTTTCTAGCATGATGCCTAATACACAATATGCATTTCATAAATTATAGCTATTCATACAATTTCTGTGCATTCCTTTATTCTTTTTCCTACATGTACACTATCTGAAGCATAATATTGCTCACTGTTAAGCTTCATTCAAATATATTCTACATATTCTTTAGCATTATTTCTTATATTCAAAATTATGAGATTAATTTTATTGCTATTTGTATCCATATTTTATTTTTATATGGTATCCATTGTGAAAGCATAGATTTATTTATCTTTTTTCCTGGTAGACACTGTTTTTGCTATTACAAGCAGTGCTAATGTGAACATTATACATGACTCTTTGAGCACATGTGGAAGAGATTCTCTCTCCATCCATCCACTCTGTTATTTTCTGAGCTTCAGTTTGCCCTGGGTTAACTACCCTTTGGATCCCAACATGGCCACCCCAGTTCCAAGCATCAAATTCAGACATGACAAGCTCTGCTGGAAATAAGAAGACCACTTCTCTTTTTTTCTTTTTTCTTTTTCTTTTTTTTTTTTGGAATACCAAAACATTTATTGGTACGTTTTAGACATAATGATAACACTTATCACAGGGAACCTGCACCTGTTCACAATACCTCACACCTCTTTCTTTCCCACTTCCCCTCCCTTTAACCCCCCCTCCCCTCGCCATGTACAAAAGCTCTGTTTCCATTTTTTTCAAGAAGCCCACTTCTTCCTGAGCTTCTCCCTTTCATTACCAAGGATTGTCTCCCAGAGATCTCTGTCGATTTTCACTTCATTTCTCATTGGCCAGAACTGGACCACACGGTCATTGGCTTAGGTTAATCGGGATTGGCCCCTGATGATCTAACATGGCTGTACCACGAAGAAAACCCATCTGAGAAAAAAAGCCTACAACAAAAAAATAGAGGGGATTATACGTCAAATGGATCACGGTTCTAGTTACTATATTGCATAACAAACCACCCCAAACTCAGTGGCATAAAAACAATCATTTTCTTATAGTCGTAGATGATGTGAGTTAAGAAATTCGGCAGGAAAAAATGTGAGTTCAGCTTGTATCTGAGGTCTCAACCAAGAATCTCAGACTAAGGTGACTGGGAAGTAGGGAATGCAATCATTTGAAGGTGCCTCACTCACCTGTCAGAAGGTAGATACAGGCAATAAGCTCGATCTCACTTACACATGGACCGTCCAGTTGGCCTGGAGAATTTGGTCCTCTTGCTGCTAAAACAAATTACCAATATCTTTGTGGCTTAAAAGAGCACAGATGTGCTATTTATAGTTCTCTAGGATGGCGGTCCAGGGCCTCCTTCAGGTTAACTTCAGGGTGTCAGCAGGTCTGAGTTCCTTCCTAGAGGATCCGGGAGAGAATCTGCTTCCTTGTCTTTTCCAGTTTCCAGGTGTTAACTGCTGTCCTTGACTCAAGGCTCCTTCCTCGATCTTCAGAGTAAAATAACTTCAGGTCTCATCCAACTCTGACCTCCATCTCTCAGGTTCTCCTCTTCTGCCTATCTTTCACTCCATGACTGCACTGAGCCTACCCAGACCATCTAGGATCACCTTCCTACCTCAGAGTCAGCTGTCTAGCAGCCTTCATTCCATCTATGGCCTAATTCCCCCTTGCCATGTAACGTAGCATACTCGCAGGCTCCATAACATAGT